GATTCTCGGCCGTACCAGGACATCCAAGGGTACGGATTAGCTCCACTGGTTATGGCTTCTCACTAGAACTCCAAGAATTACTTCACGAAGTTAGTCACTAGTGAGTGTATGGTAATTATCAGTATAGTATCGTTATTAAATAAATTTGTTTCGAAATGTCTCCTGATGTTATATATTGGTTGTTACTAAGAAAAAACTGCACAATTGTTTGATTCTTTCAAAAGATATCTTAAAGCTTAAGACTTGAATATTCGTTTTTCAAAAGTTAACTATATATTTTTGATTGTACTTTAGTAACTTAATAAGAAACAAGGCAAAGAAACATTCTGTACATAATAGTAATACAATATATAAATATTGAGAATAATATTCCGTGATATATATCAATTAGTGATAAGTAAAGTTGAACATAGTTTACGTGTGAATTAAATCAGGTTGATACATCACATTAGATCAGAATGAGGAAAGAACTAATCTAAATACCTAAGTAATAGTTATAGTAATATTAGTGGTGTAAAACTCAAGATTAAATAGAGGTGTGGCCCCCTAAGAAAACCACCTGCTTCGGTTTGGGCACCCGGGCAGTATCACAGCCCTCACAAAAATCGAATGAATTTTGTGGCGCATATCTACTTGGTGCCTCCTTGTACCAATGTTTATGTGTTTAAATAATAATAATAAGAAGAATGCATCTATCCCACTGCAACTGATTCTGAAACATGTCACCTGTTGTCTAAAACCATCCCTCACGAAAATTATACACATTCTAATCATGTAGTCTTTACCTACTTACCAACAAGTCTCAATCAGACAGTTATTCTTTCTAATAAACCTATGATCAAATGCTAGTAACGTGCGAATTTCCTCAATTTTAAGTGTTATATTTCACATCTGTGTGATGAAGCATTGAAATTCTGTGCAGTATACACTCGTCTTGGTTGACAGATGGGCAATTCGCCTATATACGGACGACATAAGTTCTCATAAACAGAAAGGCTTTTCTTTAATACGTGCCGAAATCTTGTCATACACTGACTTATCAACGACGTTGAAACCTCCAAGATAAGTAAAATGATTGATGCACTTAACTAATTTGCTATCTATAACCGTCCAGTCGTTGAATTTTGTGAGCAGTTTTGAATGTATTGGCTTCATAGACTTCATCCTTTACCATTGGTGATGACGATGGAGTTTGATTTGAGGGGGGGAGTTAACCGCCTTCCGTTATGAGAAAGAAGCTTTTCTAAAAATAGTGGTTGCTTGAGGGACACAGCTTAATACTATCATATTACATACAGTACAGCCGGCAGTACTACTCTACCCTCAGACTTTAAATTTCTGCTTTTAGACTTCCTGCTCTCCAACTGATCTGACTTGTATGTTAGAACCTAAATGAATGAATGTTCTAGGCAATATAGCTCGATTGGGTGATCACGGCAGATAAGAGTGACCGTAACACCAAGGTATCAGGTACGCTCGTGTATATATATCTTTTTCGTGATAATCAAAGAAAAAAGGAAACACCAATCAAGTGACTTACAATTTTAGAAACTTCCTCTGATGAAACATGTTTTATGACGACAGGACTGGTGAATTAAACAGATAGGAAAGCACATCTAGGTAGGACAGCGTACAGACTAAAATTATCAAATTAATCAGTACCACTTGAAGGAAACTAAAACTAATAAAATAAACAACTGTTTATCCTCATACAACAGTTTGTGTGATGCATACATAAAGCATTTAATTTACAATTGATTGATCACTGGATGGTGATCATTGTCATGTATGTCAGGTCCTTAGTGTCGATCGAATGCTATTGACCAAGCTGCAATGTGGCCGTCAGTCTAGGTGACTCTACATTGCGTACACTATGTCGAGATAAGATGGTAGTTGAAGGTAGTCAAGTCACATTGCGACTTGGTCGATTACATTCGATCTGCACTAAGAAGGGCCTGGATAGCTCAGTGGTAACGTCTCTGACTGTGAAACTCGGTGATACGGGATCTAACCCATCAGGGAGAATCAGTTCCCTTAAGATTACAAGTACATCTTGCTGGCGAGTGTCAAGTATCAAGAAACCTAGTTGCAGGGTTTCCTGTTGACTACTTCCAACCACCATCTTATAAGGCATTTAATCATAAACTATTGTATTGTTGCGTAATAAAGTAGACCGAGTGAATGCTTTCTTTTAAAGTTACAGATACACATTATCAATGGAAGCTAATACACTAAAAACTTACAGTTTGATTTATCTTTCGACTATGTTTATGTATCAAATATCAGCTATTCCTTTAGCATACTCATTTCCCTATAGTACTCCACAAAGGTTTTAAAAAACATAAACGTTCAATACTGAAATGTAATACTAGTGATAAAAAACTTGCAAAATGGCCTAGTAATCATAAATAAATTCCAATATAATTTAATCATCACTAAATGTATCCATGTATCCAATTAAAGTTTTTCTATTTATTATGTATCGTATTTCCACTTGGTTATAGTAACAACAAAAAGAAAGGATATTGCGTGGGAATATGGTTATACTTGTATATTGATCAGTAAACATATTTGTGAATTCTGGCCATGTAAGTTTGTTTTCACGCAACAATCACTGAAATGCATAGGTATCGAAACATAAAATAACTGGTCCTTATACTTAAATAAGGTAACAAATATGATTAGAGATAACTTAGTGAACTAATTATTCTATAGTGTGTAAATTGTAAGTCATTAGCTAACCAACAATATTGAAACCAGACTATCAAGTTTAATCGTATCATAGTTAATTACGTAATTTCTCGAAAGAAGAAATTGCGCATTCTGTCTAAGTATATACCTGTCTTCATGAAGTAAAATCAACCATCTATGAAATCAGTTTTAACAGCTGATATGCTACATATATGTAACTAATCATACAATTGAAAGAAACAAATCAATGAATTATGAATTAGTTATTCGCATTTTTTTTGTTTCGGCATTACAATACTGTTGAGTTGCTTGGTAACACAATTCTGTGTGTACAGTCACAGATTGATAATTGATTAGGAAGATATGTGTCATATGATAATTAATCTTTTTGAAGTAAAAACAGAACATTGGAATGTAAGACTGAATAGTTTCACAGTATTTGGACGCCGAGTTGATATGAGACATTAAAGATAAAGAATGTATTGAAGGGAATTTCCTTGAAAAAGCTTAAACCAGATTGCTAGGTGAAACGTGAGATTTACTTCATATTCATTCTCTGAGATTTTATAGATACATTCTTCCTCGTCAGACTGAATAGTTTAAATTAACATATTATATTACTTTATTGATAGACTGATCGAGCATAGATTAGATATATAACTCATTTCAGAATATTATAAATGATACTGCTAGGATTGAAGCTATCATAAGTTCACTTAATCTGCGAACGAGAAACAAGACTCGGTGACCAAAGACCAGTAAGCTAGCTATTGACTCGTCCCAGCCTCGTTAACTAGAGAAAGAAGTCCAAGCTTGGAATGGGGAAATATATTCTGCAAACAGCCAAAAACGAGCGATAACAACAAACACAATTCAAAACGTATATATACAGTACAAAACCGTCCTTGGGGAGAGTTACCAAACAGCATACTAAAAGACGCAACGGACCAAAAGTATTTAAGATATTTCCCAGTGGAAAATACGACATGACGGTGACAAGAGGGCCTTTGACGCGAAAACAAATCCAAATTTTCTAAATAAAAATACAAAATTAGGTCCTTTCCCAAGTGAGTTTCGGGGGATCTAACGTCCCCAGCAGATACGCAATTAAATGTTAGCCATATGAACTAATCTGATAATTAATGAACATTCATTATCATTTATTCATTTGTTCCTAATATCAGTTAATTATAATGACAAAAAACGATATTTTGGGCCAATCAAACATCAGTTAAAAAATAAGCCCAAGCTAATTGGACAAGATTTAACTTCATTTTCTCACGAAACAGATATAAGCTACTGGTTGAAAAACGGAACTTTATTTTCTAAAAGAATAAGATTTAGTTCTAAACAATAAAATTTTCTGCTCATTCTCAGTTTTCTTATACAAGTATCTAATTGGGATCATTTAAAGAAAGCTTCCATATTGATGTATATAACAGATAATAATGAAAAATAAACTATACTATGTAAAGTGAAATTTTGGAATTGTAACCTTATCTTATCTAATCTCATTTTTTAAGCCTTCAAACACATAATCATTTATTGCTCAAATCCAAACAGTAATCTATATTTTAGCATTCGGATGAATTGAATTAAATTAACAAGGTAGCATATTGATATCAGAAGAGTTTTTGTAAATAGTTGAGATCATGAGTCAATTGAAGCTAGACCAGCATGGGAAACCTGGAGGCACTGAACGGCCAGTTTCGTCCTATTATGGAACTCTTCAGTAGAGCATATCCACGATTCCTCCTTGCGAGATTCGAACCAATTAACATTAACACAGTTGAACTCCGGCTCAGTGGTTTAGTGGTAGGTCCTTTGATCGAATCTCGCGAGATGGGATCGTGAATGTTCACTGCTGAGGAGTCTTATACTAGAACAAAACGGTTGTTCAATGTTTCCAGGCTTTTCATAGTGGTCTAGCTTCAATTAACTCATGACCTCAATTATTGAAATTACTATAATATCCACAAAAATCCTTCTGATATTAATCAACATATGTTCACTATTGACTGGCTTCAAGAGATATTACCTGGAGTGAGAAGCCGTGACTACTGGAGTTCAATCTGTGTCGAGTGTGAGACAGTTACCCACCTCAGATAAAGGATGAAGTATTGCCTAAGATCATGGATCAATTGAAGTCAGACATTAACACCATTGGATGCCGACTGGCTCAGTAGTTTAATGGTTAAGCGCTCGCACGCAAGACTAATAGGACCTGGGTTCAAATCTGATGTGGTGGGATCATGAATGTGCACTATTGAGGAGTCCCACAATAGGACGAAACGGCCGTCCAATACTACCAGGTTTTCCATGATGGTCTGGCTTCAATTGATTCATGATTTCAACTATCCAAATTAAATTAGTTGTCCTAAATAGTAAAATTTCATATATTTATCAATGAACGAAATAAATAAAAGAAAAAAGTGGTGAAGTTGTTGAATCTCTTTTATTTTCTTTTTTGTTTTGTTAAATGAAACATGGCTTAATTCTAATAGGCAATGAAAACAAAGGAGCAAAATAAAAATAAAAAGGAAGAAACATAAAATTCTTCACAAATACAACAATAAAATAATCTTTGAAATGAAAATAACATGGAACATTGTAACTAAGACGTAGTAACAATAACAATAATAATAATAATCGATTAAAAGTTTTTTTTACAGAAATCTTTGTTTTGTTTGTTTCTATGTTTTCCTCTTTGAAAATCAATATCATATCAAGGTGTTTAGTATGTTTTTATTATCAGTAATATTAATATTAAACTGTATGAACAAATTTTTACTATTATTATCATCACTATTATTATTATTATATGAAGGAAAGCAAGATTACGTAACTTGTTTTTTTTTCTTTGTATTAATAAAAAAAAGAAAAGAAAGAAAAGAAAAAGTGAATGAAAAAAAGAATTAAAGTTAACTAATAAGTAAAATTGAAACTATCCATCAAGTAACTAACAATGACTTATTCATGTCCTTTTTTATTCGTAATTTTAATATTGTTATATATATATAAAGAAAGAGAGAGAGGGGGGAAAATGATTCATTGAGAAATTCCATTACCTTGAATCGATTATCAAAAATAATATTAAATGTTCATAAATCAATAAGAAGATAACAGTTTCATATTATCTATGGATTTAAGATCATCATATACTTTGGACAATTATCATTGGACAACAATATATAAGCTTATATTAACCTAGAAACAAGATATTAAAGATTGAAATGGAGAATATTTATGTATATATGGTATATGAAATATAAGAAATTAGGATTAATCTAATCTTAACAACAACAACAACAACAAGAACGATAACAACAAAAGAAAAGAAACAAAGAAAAAAAGAAGCTGAAGCAAATAAACCGCTAAAATTATTTTATGAACAATTATCATTATTATAAATAAGAAACAATAAGCAATGAATAGAGGATATGTTACTAGGATAGAATAAATGATGAATTAGTTTAAAGTAAACTGGGTTTTTTTCTTTCTTCTTAATCTTATCTAAATAAAAGATGCTCGAAAGACATATGGTTTATATTAAGCCACAACATTTAAAATCATACAAAGGCTTATGTTGTGTACTTTTGTGCGTGTGTGTGTGTGTGTCGGGAAGTTGCATGTGTAACATTCATGGACAGTAAATATAGTTTTGAATAAGCTATTCATAGAATTAAAATGATATAGTATTGAATTCAATCTTGTACTTTAACAATATTTTGTGATTGATTATGAAAATTAGTAAAATCGGATATATTATCTGTTTCTTCTGTTTCTGCTTCTTCTTTATCATCTTCTTCATCTTCTGAACCAGTAGGTAAAAGAAAATCTCTTGAAGGTGAAGCAGATGAAGCACGAAGTCGATGTTTTATACGTTTACGATTACGTTTACCTAAATTAGAATTGAATGTAACTCGTAGATTTTGTGTATTGATTTTGGAAATTCTTCTAGCTTGAGGTGTTGAAAACTAGAAAACCGTAATGAAATGAGAAGTAATCAGTTAGTGATTTGAATATAACATAATATAAATAAACATTCATACATGTATTGTTTTTAAAGTACGTTTTCATAAAAGAAACATGTAAAACCTGTAACTGATATACAAACACAAAATACTTATACAAAATGGTTATATCAAAGTTGAATGATGGTAAATCAGTTGATGAGGTTGTAAATTTTCATCGACTGAGAAGGTTGGACCACGGGTTACGTATGCCTGAACATCGATTACCATGACGCGCTATGTTAATATTAGTGTAGGGGATGGTCGGAAGAATGTTAGGGGCGGCCAAACCAAGACGTGACATCAGTTCACAATGTCATTAACTTCTAGCCTGAGCCATGTTGACAGATGCAGACTACTTGGTTGGGGTCCGCGTGACTATCGTAACGAATGTTTGGAGACTCTGTGTGACATGACTCAGAATCTATCACAACGTCGTCGGTGTATACACTCTCTGTCTTCCCTTAAACTAAGAGATTAAAATCGCTTCATATCTTTCTTTCTACGAACTAGTTCTTTCTTCCTGCACTATGTCCTTATATGCAATCTTTCTTTTATACATTACCACCACTGAATTAACTACTTTTATGAATTTGGTGCTCATCTTGTTGTTGTTGTTTACATTTACTTGAAATGTATCTTGGACGCCCTAATCTTCTTTATTACTATTGATAATGTTATTACCTCTACTCCTCTGGGATTTGCTTTGACAATTTTATCTATCTGTGTTAATGCGGTATTGCAGCTACGACTGATGTACCAGTTTCTACGTTGCGTCTGACTGACTGAGTGTCATACATTGACATATAAAACGAAACCAATAAAATATTTCAAAACTACGGCAAATTTACATTGATTAACCACCTCTCGGTAACTGGTTTCATGTTTATCGAATACTTTCTATCAACCAAGTTATTATACGACCAGTAGTTCAAGTAGTTCAACACTGCAGATACTAATTTTGGAGTTTAGATGGTGGAAGGCCTCAGACATGGATGTCTTACTATCTGGAATTAGTCAGCAAGTCATGTCTACAAGTTTGAGGACTTGCAACATCCATGAGATTCGGAACTGAATCACTCTAGAGTTGCAATATGGGGAATCATAACAGAGCTATTCGCCTCGTAATTTATTGCTCGTATGACCAATAAATTTACACTAATTGATAAAATCCAATCTCATCAATAATGAAACGGGAATGCAGTTGACTTTTTCCCGATTTCTTTCAATCACCAAACATTAGTTTGCAAAACAAATTCTATGGACGTACTAAATTGTTGTCGAACTCGGTGTTAAGCTTTCATCCTAGTTGAAACTCGATGCTAGTTCGAATTTCATGAGTACAACTTCTGTTAATATTGCAAATATGCCCAATTTATGAGCTTCCAGTTGATATAGGCAGTCATTTAACATTTAGGAAATTTCCAAACCAGTGATTGAAGTCACCCTATTTCATGTTATCACAACTAGTTGAAAACTGAAAGCAAGTAAATCTAAGCATGAGCATTAAAATGTAAACGAAAAGGAAAAGTTAAAAGAATCAACACAATGAATAAAAGTACCCAATAATATTATATTTAGTATTTGAAGAAGGTCAAAAGATTAGTGCGTTTATAACCGATTTTAACTCATAATCACTTAGTTACAAACTACTAATTTTATTTATTCAGACTATATAATCGTGAAGCTTTCAACAATCTAATCATCTCTGACAAATAGTAACCCTTCATTTTCTTAGTGAACTAAAACCTAACATAGTCCTATCATTACATGATAAATCATGATTTATTGCATATTAGAGAATCAACGAAGAATCCTTTCCAGGGGACTATAGACAAGCTCAATAGAAAAGGAGGGTATATAAATGGTTATTGATTCATGACGAACAGGCCTTTGCTGAAATGATATCTCCGTGTTAGTTGTGGGTTAACTATACTCAAAAATCGTTGAATATGGAAGACATAAGATAATCAAGCTATTTGTTGTGGATTCTCAAACATTCATAATCAATCATCAGAGCTCTTAGGAAAATACTGGACAATTGTGCTGTCATTCAGTCATATACATATACATATGTCCATCGGCTAAAGTTGTCACACCGCATCAACTTAGTGAGATAAAATTATTTCAATACAGGTTCCAGAGTAGTAGAAGCAATAGTGGTAGAAAAGATTAGGTATAGAAAAATAAAAGAGTAGTAGAAAAGCTACAAACTTAAGACTATTTCATGATTATTTGTATCATTGTTATGGTTAGTACTACTATTATAAGTAATATTGGTAGTAATGTAGTGAACGAGAACACAGATGGGTACAACCAAATGTATTTAAATACAGAATTACAGAACAACTTAGTAAAATCTGAGAACCACACAGTAAATACTTCATTTGCAAAATGTTAATCAATTGTCTTATACTTGATTGTTCCTTCGTTTCCTCGTCATTATCTGTTCTCATTCTCTTCTCATCGATCTTCTTAACTTTCTACCGCCAGGCCTTTTACTTTCAATTAATAATACATACTACTTATATCTGTCGATATCAGTAACACACATCATAGTAGCAATTGTTGCACACCAAAGTGTAGCACGAAAAGATAATAAAAAACAATCATTTATACATTACTTCTTCCTTTTAAATGTTATATCTTAAGGTAATTCATATCAAATAATATCTTATTCAACATTTAATAAAGATTTTGATAAAAATGTTTTAATTGAGATCATGAACTGATTAATGTTAGATTACCATTGAAGATCTAGAAGCACTGGATGGCCGTTTTGTCCATTTGTGGGACTAAAGGTTAAGCGTTTGCGCGCATGACTGAAGGCTCTGTGTTCGAATCTAGCGAAGGGGATCGTGGATACGCACTGTTGAGGTGTCCCAAAATAGGACGAAACGGCCGTCCAGTGCTTCCAGATTATCAATAGTGGTCTCAATCAAAATCTTGATGATCTCCACGGTCCTATACTCATAAAAAATGGTTTATTCAACTTAATATTAAACAATATATATGTATAAGAAGTTTTAGCATTGGTAACTAATCGAAAGAAAGGTAACAAAATGTATCGATTCTTTATTATTTTTCTTTCTAAAAAATGTATATAAAAGTATCATATGATCTAGTTTAAAATATGAAATAAAACAAAAAAATTCGGAACTTTAAATAAACCACGTGTAAAACTGTGTAACCATGACTTATAACTATTCTGATTATGTTAGAAATGAAGAGAGAGAGAGGGGGGGTTGAAACAGTAATTAAACAAGTTGGTTTAATATTTAATTGAGACACATATAGACAATGAAAAACAACAAAAAGGCCGATTGTAAATGTGAACGTGTGTTGCATAATTGAAAATAAGGATATCCCGTTTATATATGCCGATTTACTAAATTATCTTGTATAATATATGTAAGATGAAATAGTGATTTACTTTTAATAATTTACAAAAACTCATTAACCAAATACAGATTTGTATTTTCGGCTTTAAACTATATTTTGTGTACATTAATCAATTATTCTAAAGCTCTTCAAACAGGTAAATTCATTTACTTAATGGATTAGTACTAGGAAAATATGATGAGTAGGTTAATGAGGTAGGTAGTAGATCCTTATCAACTGAAATGATTAGAACATGTACTATGTATGCTCAGTCACTTTGATGAGCCATGATTGTTTGGTTTAGAAGTAGGCTAGAAGAAGGCTGTGGCGGACATACTGAAATATGGGTATCAATTCATGTAGTTATTGACTGTTAGAAACGTCTCAAACATTCTTCTATTGTTAATCAACAGTACGGTACAAAATCTTGATGGGCGGTCTATGCTCCTTCGCGAGGGGTAACAGGCGCAAGTTAACATTTCAAAGTACACGAATGGTATCAAATTTTAGTTCAATAAAACTGACTTTTGACAGTTAATTTTTCGATGGTGGATTCAAAAATAATTATACTGAATTATTTCTGATTAGATAAGCAAGCATTGGCAGGCAATAAATACCACGTGAATTATATATTTGAGCCTGAATGAAACCGTATAAGCCACTTAAACCATACTTCATTTACTTATGTATTAGAACAGACAATGTATTTGAAGGTGCTAGCTATAAATTTGTACTTTTAAAAATTATCATTTTATTAATTACATTTTACCAATTCCGATGTACTTAGTTGAAACCTGCGATAAAAATTAATATGAGGAAACAGATTTCACATCAACATTGTGTTAGTTTACAATTGACTGATCACTGGGTAGTGACTAATGTCATGTATGTCAAGTCGATTGAATTCTATCGATCAAGTTGCGACGTGCATACCAGTCTAAGTAACTCCACATTGCATGCACTATTTAGAGGTGTAAGGTAGTGGTAGATCTCCTGTTGATTACTTCTAACCATCACCTTACACATTGTGGACAGTATGTTGATCAACTCGAATATTACACAGTAATGTGAAAATATCTTCCATAAAAAACAAACTATCCCTTCATTTTCTGAGTGCTGTTCCGATTTTAGGTCTCACGAAATTGCTGTCTTGATCTGACAGGTAGACTAAACTTAAGTCAGATACTCAATCCCAATATTTTATGATCAATAAACACAAAAAGTTGAATGATACAATGAATTATTCTTAGTATGGGGATTAGTGGAGATTGTTGAATGTTAAACTAGGAGAGAGTGGACAGCTGTTCTACCCCCGGGATGGGACTCCCCAGTAGTGTGGATCTATAATACCACCAGAGATCAAACACAGGACCTTTGGGCCTCACGGCGAGCATTTAACTTTTAGAACACTGAGTCGTGTAACTCAGGTTGGTGCATCATTTCAATAATATTATAAATTATAGACTTTACATACGTACACCGGTGATCATTCAAGAAGATAATTTTAGATGCTTTTTATTAAATTTAAATATTAGACATGGAAAGAATTGCATTTTTAGAAAAATAAGATTATATGATCGAATATACAATAATCGAGAAACTAATAAAAGCCAAGTGACATAAACATCGAGCCTGAAACAGTAGTGAGCCTCTTTATGATATAAAGCTTAGAAACAACAAAATAAAACTAAGGGAATAAAAGACCACAACATTTTCCACAAAAGAACAAAGTGAAAGATAAAACAAATTGGTTTCTATGAATGATTTGTAAAAGAATAATCATATGAATTATGAATGTTAAACGTCGGTAAATTCTCAGTTGTTTTATGACAACAGCTAATAAATCATCAATATTTCAACTTTTCCCTAATTACTACTAACTGATTAAGTATATGGGGAATAAATAAAGCGTGAAGAAGCAACATATTAGTACAACTAAGCTTTCTATGAAAAAAAATGAGAAAAAAAAATATGATCCTTAGTTTTAATGTTCTAAATTTTAAATTGTATGCTACTAATCAGTAGGAAACATAAACGTCAACATATGCAATATCGTATCCATCAAGAGATAGTATCAATTAAGTAAATATTTCCAGACTAATGCAGTTAAATGCACTAAATTGCAAATCTTATATATAATACATAAATTACATTGAAAAAACAAACAACTAAAGTCAAATAAATATTAACTTACCTGAGATAACTTTCTTAAGCATAAATCATCCACTGGTCTATGATTATTCCCATTGTTAAAGTTGATATCTTCAAAAATATCATATGCATCTGTTTCCAAACAACTATATTCAGAGTTATTATTATTATTATTATCCACAGTATTGTTATTTTGATCTTTATGAGATAGCTTAATTGTAATAGGAGTTATTGGCTTTGATTTGGTAAAATGTTCATCTTCTTTACAAATATCATTATTATTATTAATGTTAGTGCCTGTTTGACCAGAGACTGTCCTAGTTTTGTTATTTGTATTATTATGAATACGTGTATTACTTTTATCAATATTAGTGATAATCACGTTATCCGGTATTAAATTATCAACTTGTCTAGTATCACTATCACTGTTGTTATTATCTGTAGAACAACCAAGATTTAAATGTCCTACATTCTCTGTTGCTGATGTTGATGTGCAAGTATGAGAATAATCACTGACACGTCCAGAATCAGATAAATCTAATAAATATTTATCATGGCCATCATTGTTAGATGTCAGTGATGGTGGAATACGAAAGGCCCAACCCGTTGCATTTAATGATGAACTTAATCGATATGATAAGGAAGCTGAATCATTTGACATAAGAGAAAATGATGACTGATGAACCTGAGTTGAAGATGGAGATGTATCCAAATGATAATGAAGTTGGTGGTGATGATGGTGTAGAGAAGGAGGAGGGTGTGAATGGTGATGATGATGCACGAAATCTGTACACGTTTCTTCATTAGGATCAATTAAATCAGTTGTAGAAGATTCAAAAACACCTCCATCAGTTGATGATAAAGAATTAGACGCATCAATCGGTGGGAAGTTTAGTGAAGATTTAGATTTTCCAGTTTCACTATGACGATAATCACTTACACTAATTGAATGCGGCTTTGCATACTTTAAAGTCGTGTCAGAAGTATTACCATTAGCAATAGAGCTTGTCGGATACAAAGGGTATAACCATTCAGCATCCCAACTGTTATCCTTAAATAGATGTGCCAATTCAATTATCACCTTGCCTTCTTTGTATCGTTGACTAGGTTCAAAAGCACGTTCATACTTCCAACCTAGTGCCGTATCACAACATGCACAAAATATATCAGCTACAAAATGCAACCCAGTCAGAAGAACACGTTGTTTAGCTTCAGCGCAACGAACATTTACAGCCTAAGGAATAAAAAGGCAAAATGCATGTGATCAACTTCGTCAATTTACTTTAAATTATTAGCGTCGTCTACCGATTTTCGGATAAAGCATAAGAAAGAGGGTAAGATAATTTATGACCTAGATTGAATGATAGTTCCTGATAATAACCTTCTTGAAACCCTACATTACCCTCAACATTTCCCAAGGAACCCCTATATACAAAAACTTAGCAACACCAAAACCCCAGTAGTTTTTTACTTGTTTGACAGAGCAGCAAATATTATAGCCTATTGTTTTAGAACGAAAGATTTAAACTTCTCTAGTGTATCCCAAATTTCACAGTCAAGACCTTGACTTTTTACTTTAAAAAACGATAGTTATACTCATTACTACTTAATAATACTGAGATTTTTACCGTCTTTGTATTTTAGTTATGACTGTACTTCCCTGAACCTGATATATACCAATACTCTGGTCCTGACAGAAATTACTTACCCTATTTCAAAAATTACCATTATAGTTCTACATATGTTGAGTAGTTTAGTCAGTTAAAAATCGGAACAAGAATGAACACCTAAAAGGAATATTTATGCGGTGTCCACATAATGGTTTTAAGTTGACTAATACAAATAACATAGAAAAAGAATAAGAAAATCTACCTCTGATGGGTAATATAACAGTCAGAAGTAATTCGGCTTACTTGTAGTCTTTTATTCCAAAAATATAGTGTTATACTTGCTTTGGCTACATCGCAGTCGAATCTAAAATACTATGTACTAATTAAATGTTATGAACTGTTCGTGACAAATATGTAGATATAAATTACAATGTGGAATAGTTGAAGACATCGATTGAAGTAAAAGTACCGGACATGATTTCATGGCACTATGGGTCATAATTAAAAGACAATGAGACCAAGTCTATAGCTTCGCGTAGAAACTTAAGCAATGACATCACACAAGTAAGGTAAAGCGGTGACCCTGAGCTTGAGGTGTTTCAATTCTTGTCAACAAATTACAAGTCCATACCGTGATTCGTCTAATTCGGTTTGAAGGACTTGGTAGCATCGCCAGCCCTCGGATTTAGTGTTACACGAAGTCAAATACATGAATTTGTACTTGGCAATAAGTCAATTCATTTGTATTCATTCATCCAGAACTTTCTGACCCTAACACTCTTGTAATAACTATCGTTGAATGAGGCACCCAATATGGCCAAAACAATAGATGAAGACGAAGAGAATTTGAGAAGGTAAGATAAACAATGATCAATGATACACCTTTTGTAAATATAATTAGTAAAAAGCAGAAAAGAGGAAAAAAGACGATACACAATGTCATAATAATGAGGGCTTATTTTGACGACGGTTATCTTTGTCAAGCATGTTCTTCAAGTGCTGAATTAAAATATTGGCTTAACTATAGTCAAAAGCAAACAGCACTTGATCTTCACTGCTTTAAATAATTCTAAAGTGTAAATTAATATAATTGGTATTAGAATATGAAAAAAAATTGTCAAAGAGGAGATTAAAAATATACCGTATTTTTACGAGAAGTTTAAAAAATGAGAGTTTATGAGAAACAAATAATATGAGTACAATTCTTTTATCAGTATTTAAATAAAACCAGGCTAAATCAAGTTCGAACTGAGTCAATGATAGACATTCAAAAGAAAACAGACATCCGCAACGATGGCTATGAATCCAGAAATAATTACATTATTACCAAGTGTAATTAATATGAAGTTGTAAACCCAAACTACCGATTACATGACAAGCAATTTCCAAACGAGGATCTTAATTAATCTTAACAAATCTACAGTCTCATGGATGTCTTACCAAAGGGAAAAGTCTACACAAAACCGCTCAAAAACTACACATTAATGAAATATAAACGACAAGTTTGACAATCTGCATAAATCTAGTAGTGCAACTACACTGTGCATTGAAAACATCTAAAACACCTGAGCGGTGGTAACAAATACGATCTAGCTAACTGAAAATCGGAAGCAGGAGAAGCTTGTAGACATGGATATCATAGATTTACTTAGGATTCAAATTAATCCTACTACTGAAATTAATTTGTGGTTAAGGTATCCGACTTCCTTTTATTGAGTTACCGATTTGCATTTCGCAACCCCTAGTTGGGTTTACACAACTGAGTACTATCATCACTAAAGTTCACAATAAAAAATAATGCAGCCTTATCACGGCAATGTGGTTGTAAGTTAAGTACATAAACAAGTACTCTGTAAATCTATTATTTTACTTAGGTGAAAGTAGGAGATATGTAGTACAGTCAAAGCAGCCACTAAACTTACAACATTACAATAAAAATCCTTAAGCGTTCATCCTGTAACAACTAAGCTTAGAAAATACTAACTTGTAAAATTAATCTTTGGTTGTAAGGTAAAGTTAACCAACAATTCCAACGCTCAAGCCAATTTCGACGGAACAATACACAAAAACCTTGACTGGGACTGACTAAACTGCAGTGTGTCAGTGTTTGTACTAACAGCAGAGATCTAGAGTTAATTGGAGAACACGGAATGAAGCCTGTAAATAAGTAGATCGAATCCCTCAATCAAGCGTCATATCATTCAGACATTTATTAATATACAGCAATATTTTCATACAAAAATACTTCAACAGTGTTTCAAGAAATAAGAAGACAACTGCTTACCTGGTTAAATAAATAAGCTCGACCTTGACTTCCCTGAAAAGATTTACTTATGAGGTCGTCATGACGAGCTAAATGTGCACGACAATGGAGGCAACTGTACGTCAAAGAATTCTTTTCAAATGGGAAATAAGCCTGAAACTTTCCTTTGACCATATCGGTGACAACAGATTCGTCACATTATGGAAAAACCGGTTGAATGACACAGCTGGTTGGTCAACGCGAATCAAATAATTATGAACAGCAAAATGACGTTGAAATCTAAAACACAATAAACGGACTTTACACGCAATAGAAAAATATAAACATGAAAGACGAAGAAAGGGATGTTAGAAACTTACAGCTTTGTCTAATTCGATGGGGGAGTAAAAGAATTATTGTTGGGTATGTTGACGACGAATAACCATATATATTATATGCCCGAAGCTATTTTCACAAGCAAGTTTATTTTTTCTTTTCAGTTAAGATAAGTGATATGACTAGTTACTTCCCTACAGTTACCTACACATACCCGAGCTAGATTAACTCCCATTTAAACTTGCGAAAAAGTATGCATAAGCACAACTGAAGTAAATAAACAATACAGTATCCAATATCTTGGCGACAAGCTTATATGAACCAACTATTTTCTTTGCACACACTTATTGATGTTATCATACGATTTTAGGTTCTTTTTTGGCTTCCGAAAGAAGTAGTATGGGTACTCGTATGACCTATTTCAGATTCAGATTTGAATTCGACAGGTATTTGTTAGTAGTTGTATTGGCTCTCAACCACACGATCCTTAAAGCCAAAAATACGATAACTGAGAAGATTCACACCCGAGTTTTAACTCCTAGACAGGGTCAGAGATGGTGAATGCATGAAAACCTAATCACTATTGCATAGCTCGGCCAAGCATACGTGGTCACCCTATGTAACTTATCCCTTTTTAAATCAAATGTATCACTCTATCATCGGATCGAAAGTGTTCCTCTGAAGTGCCAAACGTTATTATGCTGACTGTCACAATAGGACGAGTCAACTGAGACAATGATGTGGCTTCCAATTAAGATCTTATAAATATAGAAAATCTACGATTTTAGGACTTGGTCTATCATAGTCTTATAAGATGGAAATTATTATATTGTAATGCTGAAGGGCAACAGTAAAACGGTCGCCAAAAGTAGGTCAACTAGTTATACAAACACTTAAGATAAACGAGGCGAAAGAAGAAAAAATGCATAGAGATAAGATGCTAGGTGAGTAAAAGCAGGCTAACTGTAATAATATTGATATTAGGGATATTAATAAAAATTAATGTCGAGTTAATTTACATGCCCTATCCTTATTTCTTCCTTATTCCATTCGTTCTTTGTATTGCTCTATACTACTTGTTAAGATGTACTAAATCGTCCCATTCCTAACACCCTATGAGCTGTACTGTGAGGTAAATTCGCTGTTATGTGATATTCTTGGTTCGTCATATTATTCGATGAAAATGAGTCCATTTATCATTGTAATCTTATCATATATATACTTGCGGCAGATATTTTTAATTTCAGTGGGATTGCTGAACGTGATATGATCACCTACGTCCTTATAGAGAATTGAACAGTACGTAGTAACCCTAACTGCCTAAAAAAGAACTAGCAAACAGAAATAACACAGTGATTCGTTTTTCAACACTTACGCAAAGTTCGCTTACTGGTACAACATTATTATCAGTGTCCTGATAACAACAGTAAGAACTGTGGTGTTTGAATGAGCTAGGGATACCTTTGTGCTTGTTGAATGCTTGATTTCGAATTCTAATTACAGTACATTCGTTTGTAGTTATCTAATAATTCTTGACCCGATTACGTAATTTCTGAGATTCTTAGTTCATACTATAGTTCAAATACTCCCGTTTATCACAAGAACACATGTCATTCATAATTTCGTTAGGTATTCTCACTGACTCTGAAATCCAAGCAATTTCCTTCTAATAAGAGAGAGTGAACTTTTGAGACTTTCCATAGAGTAATAAACCAGATATTTCTTAATGTATATTGTGGCCTCACTTACTAGTACTTTCTACTCATCCTTAGTTTTACAGTGAGTAGGTCTGAAGAGTACAGAGTCCATAAAGATCAAAATAATACGTCGTCTCTTTTTCTTCGGAGTGCCTTGACTGCTTTCGTCATTCGTTTAAAACAGCTTCTAGGCCTGCATGGTACGATGTTATGTACGTTTCAAATAAAATTGTGCTTCGTCAGTTTGCTACTGCATTACATTCCTTTATGGCTGGAAGGTTTCCTCACTGTACACCTGGTAGATGTTGAGCTTATTTAAAAACTATCATAAAATCTTAAGTTTAGTAAAAAAATCGCATGACAACTGTTGTCTATAAGCTGTAGAACATTTTTGTTACACGGATAAACGACAATTTGTGAAGACAACAAATTCGGTCCAAACGAGAACGAGTTATTCATACTGGACTTCTCAATATCCTCTCCCAGTTGCAGATTATCCTCGCTGCACTGTCGTTGAGCTGTGACTCCAGTTAAAACAGTCTTCATTTGCATTATATTGTAGGATTTTAAATATTCTATGGTCACTGATCAATTTATTCACGCAACTGGACTAACAGAATTAGTATACTGCGGTCGACCCTCTATGATGCTATTGCCGAATCTATGTTATTTTTGGACGAAGCCACATCAGCATCCATATCGGTCAGCCCTAACATGACAGTCAGGGGAACTCTTTGTGAGAGTCTTTGGAGAATGCAACTCAACTTTGTGGTAAAATAATATATTTGATATACACATGGAGGAATTACAGTGACTGTGGCTTCACCATAGGATCATACAGTTTCAATTAAGATCCCACACCAGCCTTTCGGCTTTTACTATCCTTTATCTGCTATTCACTGTCTTGTGTTCTGCCATCCAATGTTGAGGCGGTTCAGTGTGGTGGAAAATTCGTGTCTAGAGATCAGTATTACTCTACAGTCATAACTCTTTCTTCGAATGAATTAATAATTCCCTTCCGAGTGGTAGTATAATCCTGCTTCCTAGAGTTAATTGACGGGAAACGTTTTTTTCCTTTCCAACCATTTGGTCACATTGGGGTGACTTTATGTCAGACGGTCCATTCAACCTTTTATATATTCCTATAGGCTCTGTAGGTGGACCTCAGCTGAATTGCCTGTTTATATACTTTTGATAAAGGCCCCAACATTTACATGATAATATGCATGTCGAGTTTTGGTACTTGGGTCTGCAGTGACCTACTTTTATCAAGAGAAAGCGACTGGTTTAATAGAAGCAATTATTACTATAAACAATCGTACCAGTAATTGTTTTATTTGTTTGTTTGACTGTACTGAAGACATTCTTCCCTCCATTGATTGTGACCTTGCACGCACTTACGTTTGCCCAGTGATTCCGCTTGTACTCTTTTGGCACGATCTCGGTATTCTCTCGATACCACGAGATCGCCAACAAATATAACTCGCAACAACCTCCGATCGCCTCCTGGCATCTGGTACGCAACCTTCTTGTAGTGGCGTTCATTGTCAATCGCGACTCGACGCCACACTACACGTAATATCTTTAAAAAAATGGATTTTTATAGTGTTTTGTTTGTTTGTTTTTTTAAATATAAATTTAAATTTATAAGCATATTAAAATTGTTTGTTTAAAAAATATTACATACGGTAAAAAGAAAAATCAAGATAATATAAAATGTCAAGTAGTGCCTTACGTGCAATAATCGTTCAAATGTTCTGGAAATCTTACTCTTCTTCCAGAACGCGTCGTCTTAAGTTTATTTTCTGATACTATTGAAGTATCATCCTGTGTGTTGTCTGTCGGTTGAGGTATTATTAGTGTCGCAGTCATGTCGTTCGATTGTACCGAAGGAAAATCGACGTATATAAGATTTCTTCCTAAATACGCTGCTTCGAGGCGATCGATGCAAATGCTATCGTTGGTTCCGTGCTCATCGATTATATAGTACTTAGGTTCGCACTGAAGAACTTTGAAAGGTCCTTCGTATGCTGATTCGAAAGGACGTCGATGCGAGTCTCGACGAAGCGTTCTACCAACCTGTTTGCTTGTGGGTGGTAGGCGGTCGTTTGGAAGCGAATGATCCCTAAAAGTGTGGTCAGACGACGGAAAAGTTCGGATTCATCCGCGGTCTGTGGTGATGGTTGAAGGGCAGTCAAAGTTTGCTACCCATCATTCGACGAAGGTGCGAGCCACTGTTTCAGCACTGATGTCCTTGATAGGTACTGCTTTTGGCCATCCAGTGAAACGGTCTACGCAGGTTAAGAGATAAGAGTATCCATTTGAATCTGTTAAAGGTCGTACCAAATCCAGATGAACATATTCGAAACGAGCATCGGGAGTTTCGAATGAGCGTAAGGACATTTATTGTGTCTGATAACCTTAGATTTTTGGCAGCTTACACAGGAGCATGCCCACTCCCTCACGTCTTTATTCATGCAAGACCAGCAAAACCGTTCTGCTATAAGCTTGATGGTTGCACAAACACATGTATGAGAAAGTTTGTGCAACGTATTTAAGACGTTGCGTCGACAACGTTTCGGCACGATTGGGCGAGCCCTACCTGTAGATGTGTCGCCCAATAAAGTTTCCTTACCTGTTCCTAGCTTAAGGGTTGTTGACGATAACTCGTGCTGGAGATCAGTGTCCTCTTTTTGAAGCTGGGCGAGTTTAAGAAGGTCGATTCCTTCGAAACGTATCAAGGAAGTTATGCGAGACAAAGCATCTGCGACTACATTGTTCGCTTCAGAAATGTGTTGATTATCTGAAGTAAACTGCGAAATGTAGTCCAATTGTTGAGACTCACGAGGAGAGTACTTGTCTGAAGAGGAGCTTAACGAGAAAGTGAGCGGTTTATGGTCCGTGAAAAGACTGAATTCACGGCCTTCTATATATTGTTGGAAATGCCGTACAGCGTAATACATAGCTAGGAGTTCCCTCCTGAATGTGCTGTACCTCGATTCGGTGTCTAGCAACCGTCTAGAGAAAAATGCCAAGGGTTGCCAGGAGTTGTTAACCCAGTGTTGTAAGACTCCTCCAATTGCTGAGTCAGATGCGTCTACTGCGATACTGATGGGTGCTTCGGTGTCCTGATGTGCGAGCATTGTTGCTTTAGCGATCAGTTCCTTAACTGTGGAGAATGCTTTTCGTGCGGTATCATCCAAACTAATGGATTTCGCATTTCCACGAAGTTGGTCGGTAAGAGGTTTCATAAGTAATGCGCATTTCGGTATGAAGCGTCTATAGAAACTTACTAGGCCGTTAAACGTGCTTAATTGCTTGACGTTAGTCGGTTCTGGGTAATCCAGAATGGCCTCCACTTTGGTCCTAAGAGGTCGAATGCCTTGAGCATCGATAGTGTGTTCTAGGAAGTCTAATGAGTCGATCCCGATTTGGCATTTCTGAACGTTTACAGTAATGCCATGTTTTTGTAATCGATCGAAAGCAAGATCCAGATGCTTGAGATGTGATTCTCTGTCCGGACTTGCGATTAAGCAGTCATCAACATACGCATGTA